TGCCATGAATCCACCGTTGATCCTGGTGCCCAAAAATTGACAGGTAATGAGACTTTTATTCCTACTACAGATACTGACATTGACATGCCTATTGTTTTGAGAAAAGAGGCTTGGATATGCACCAAACATTCTATACAAGACTATATTTCATTAGACAAGTTATCTTTGGAACATCATACTTTTGTGTGCAGGTTAGACAGTAGCTCATCAGAGTCTAAAACAATCTATGAAGCTCTGAAAAATACCTGAATGGAGGCTGGCTGTTCAAGAGGAAATCAAGGCATTTGAAAAGAATGAAGCATGGGAATTAATTGATATACCTCCAGGGAAACACCAAGTAGGGTGCAAGTGGGTCTTCTCAACTAAATACAATCCAGATGGAAGTGTGAATCAGTGTAAGACTCGACTAGTAGCCAAAGGCTACACTTAGTCATATGAGATAGACTATCAAGAGACATTTGCTCCGGTAGCCAAACACAATACAATTCGGGTACTTCTCTCACTCACCTCTAATCTTGTTTGACCACTCTGCTAGTTAGATGTGAAGAATGCATTTCTTAATGGTGATCTAGAGGAACAAATGTATATGGACATACTGCCAGAATTTGAATTAGCAGACAGTTCTCAAAAAGTATACAAGTTGAAAAAATCACTTTATGGTCTAAAGCAATCTCCAAGGGCATGGTTTGATAGATTCACAAGAACAGTGAAACGGAAAGGATATGAGCAATGTCAGTCTGATCATAAATTATTTGTCAAACATTGTACCTTAGGTAAGAAATGGATATTGATAGTATATGTAGATGATATAATCCTTACAGGAGATCATATTGAGGAGATTCAAAAGTTCAAAGAATTCTTAGCCAAAGAGTTTGAAATGAAAGATCTCGGAGTACTAAAGTACTTCCTCAGAATAGAGGTGGCTAGATCCAAGAAAGAAATTTCGGTATCTCAACGAAAGTATGTTCTAGATCTTCTGAAGGAGATTGGGATGCTAGGAAGTAAGCCTGCTGACACTCCTATGGATCTAACCATCAAATTTGGATTCGAAATCAGTGATAAAACAGTTGATAAAGAAAGGTATCAAAAACTAGTTGGAAAGCTCATCTACCTAGCACATACAAGACCCAACATCAGTTTTGCAATAAGTACAGTGAGTCAATTCATGAATCAGCCAACTAAGGAACACATGAAAGCTATATATCGAATTTTAAGATATCTATAGATGACTCTAGAATAAGAATTGTTCTTTCGAAAGACAGTGAAAAAAGATGTTGAGATGTACACTGATGCAGATTGGACAGACTCAATAAACGAAGACGGTCTACATCAGGGTATTGTACCTATATTTGGGGAAACCAGGTCACCTGGCGCAGCAAGAAATAGTCAATTGTATCTCGTAGCAGTGCAGAATCTGAGATTAGGACACTTGCTCATTGTATATGTGAAGGTATGTGGGTAAGAAGGATACTTGTCGAACTAAAGGTTCCTAATAACGTTTCTATGAAAGTTTGGTGTGATAATCAATCAGCCATCAGTATGGCCAAGAATCCTGTACATCATGACAGAACCAAGCATGTGGAAATTGATCGTCACTTTATCAAAGAGAAGTTAGAAGATGGTACTATAACGCTCATGCACATTCCAACCAGTCAACAGATTGCAGACATCCTAACAAAGGCTCTACCAAAAAGGATCTTTGATGACATAACATTTAATTTAGGTTTACTCAACATATACATAAATTAGATTGAGGGGGAGTGTACAAAATAAAAGAATTAATTCAGTTTTTATTTTTTGTTGTTATTAGCCTAGTGTTTAGCCTAGTGGAGGTAATCACAAAGTTGGTGAGATATAACCGATTTTATTATTTCTCATTCCCATAAAGTTGTTAGAATTTTGTTCGGTTTTTGTTAGAATTTAGTTGTATTTTTCCTATAAATTGACACCTTATGATGATAGAAATGATAAGCAGAAGTAGAATTTCCATTCTCTAAAACTTCAATTTCATCTGTAAATCGTTTTCTGAAATTGAGAAAATCTTTGGCCGATTAGAGCTAACGACGCTTGGATGAAAACAAAGGGTTTTGAACCTAACAACCTAGACTATGCCAAAACAATAAAAGAGGTCCTTACTTTTTTCTTTTAAATAACCTATAAAGTTACCTGGAGAGATGAGAGAGAGAAGCTTCTTCATTCTCTGAACACCCAAGATGCCTTGCCGTGCCCACAACTTGTCCGCCACTGAAGCAGCCATGATTCAATAAACTAGAAGATTTTAAGATCATAGACCAGAAAATGTTATGAAAGGTGCATCTTAACAAAAGATAATACAAGTATTTGCAGCATTCTTGAACAGAGAACAACCATTCAACAGAATCTTACATTTTGTTAATGAAATTGTTGATAGTAAGGATACATCTATCTGTAACTTCACACGCAAAAATAGGAGAAACATGCTTCCTCCAAATCTGCTGCCATGGGAAAAGGAAGGACGCTTTTGATAAAAAAACCCGAAAACTTAAAGACGATAATAACTCAGAATATCAAGAAGTTCCCAAGGTTCTATTATCGAGTAACTGATTTGCTAATAACAAAATATTTAGAGACTGGAACCAAATGCTCGCTAGATTGACTTCTATATCTCTTCATGCTCCCTAGATTGGGCAACCTGCATGAATTTTGAGGAGTACTGAATGTAGTCACCTTCCTTACGGATCATTGAAGTTTCTCACTACCTCCACCTCTCCTACCACTTAGTCACCAACGATCAGGAACTAGTTGCCCATAAGAGCATCTTCGCTTCTAGTCAATGAAAACAAATCCGCTAACTGTATGCAGAACAGAGAAGAGCCGCACCAAACATCATCACAAAGCCAGAGACTCTTCCCATTGCCACCTTGAAATGAATACCTCAAAATTCTCACATGCCTTACTAATCCACCTCCATAAACTGGAGCCATATGAACCCCTGAACTTTTAGCCTTGCGATCCTTTTCCCATAGTTCATACTAACCCTAATCACCTTCCAACACTGGTGTCCTTGATTAGTCATAAATTTCCCAAGTCATTATTGAGCACTCTATTAAAGCTCATCAAAGACAATTCCAAGGCTCCTGAAGTTCAATGGAAGACTGACTACCTCCCATGCCACCAAATACAATGTTCGTTGCTCATATCAGCACGCATAACCAAGATTGGATGTGCTTTCCAATTTCTTAGGAACACCTTATCAGGATTAGAAGAAAAAAACTTCTGTTTGTAAAATTTGTGAAAGTGCCATCTATTTTCATTGTTCAACTCTTTGACAACACGAAAAAACCATTGTTCAACTCTTTGACAACATGAAAAAACCAAAAGCTCTGCCCTCCCTCTCTATCTATCCAAGAGATGGAAGGGCGGAGGCCTTTGGTGTCCCCTCCAGTCAAGAATTGGAGCCTCACAATCACTAGCCAATATGCTTTTCTCGCATGCCTTTCTTCGTTCATGGTTCGATATTCTGGTGTCCTAGGCGTAGAGGAACAACACCAATCCATTCCGAACTTGGGTTCAAGAATTCCTATATAATTTAAGCGACACAATCAAAGCTTTTTCTATTCTTTTATTAACTGATTTATGTATCGGATTCCATTCGCTTCACGGTTGGAAACTAATGATTGGTTATATTTACAAAGATTTTGGATTTGCTCATAACGATCAAATTATATCTGGTCTTGTTTCCACCTTTCCAGTCATTCTAGATACAATTTTTAAATATTGGATCTTCCGGTATTTAAATCGTGTATCTCCATCACTTGTAGTGATTTATCATTCAATAAATGACTGAAAAAAAATTCACTGATCCAATTCTAATGTTTCTTACTTTGTACATAAACAAAGCATTCAAAGTCGTATTTACTTTACTCTTTCTAAAAAAACTTCCATACATTTGTCTCATAAAAAAACTTCTGTTTGTAAAGAATCTGTTTTGACATGAAATAGATATGTCCATATATCTCTGACTTATCTTTATGAAATGATAAAATATGCGAAGCCGATACGAGTAGTAGATTGGAACATTTACCAAAGTTTTCCTAACAAGTGTGAGCCTATAGCTGTCACACAGAAGACTTCTCTTTCATCCTGTTAGTCTTCTATAAATTTTTTATCATCGGTTTCCAAATAGCTTTATCCTTTAGCCCCAAAAGCTAAGTCAAACATATTTAATGGGAAATGAAGAAAGCTTGTACCCAGAATGGTAGCATAGACCTGTCCATCTACATATTTTGTATAGGAAATAATTTAGTCCCACGAGAAGTAGTCTTGAGTGAGGAAACAACTTGGAAGGGGAGCAAAATGTATTTGATGTGAAGAAGAGATACCTTATTTGGTTTGCAAAACAAGATGGTATCATCTGCAAAGAGCACGTGAGACAATTAGTCGTTTCCCCTTCCTTGTAGTAAGTGAATATATCACCTCATTAGTCACCAAAACATCTAGGATCTGCCTCCACCCGACAAAAAAAAACCTATATGGATTCAAGTTATTTGTAAAAACAACAAATAATAAAAAAAAAGCCTTGGTTTGCATCAGCTCGTGGTGCTCGATGGTGGAAACTGGTGGTCTAAGGTGGGTAACAACAGTCAACAGCAGTTGGAGAAGCTTGTTGACTGCGACTGAGTATTCAGTAATGATTACAAAGTAGTTGGTAGTTGTAGCAGCCAGGGGTGGTCAATTTATATATGAAAAAAGAGGACATTTAAATAATATTTTGCATTATTCGGTAGACTGTTTATTTTCTCAACCTTTAAATAATTATTTTAGTAGAATGAGAACTACTTTATCCTGTCCATGTTTGAGCGGAAGAATCCATGAGACATAAAATTCTTACTCTGTAGCTAGCTTGTTGGTTGCGGTTCTCTGCAAACCTCTAACACATCAATCTTTCTCAGATGATTCAATTTGTTATTTTAGGTAATTCATTGACAATTATGTTGTTTTTTCGGCCAAATATTTGACAGATCATAGAGAATTGTGAGAATCGGCTGGGTGAGAAAGTGGAAGAGCTAGTAGAAATGGTAAAAGAGATGTTGCCTCCTGTTCCAACAGCATTGAATAATGAGAAGGCAATTGAAAAGGCTAAAGAAGAAACTGGAGATCCGGAGCAAGCGGCAAAGCATGGAAGTAAAACTGCGGGCAGGTAACGGAGGATAATAAATTAAGGTCAAGCTTTGTTTGGTGAATCCCTATATATTTGTGTGTATATATATAAATATTAGGGGTTTTGTGGCTATACAAAGATTCTAGTTTAGCTTCAACAGACATTGATAATGATCAAAACATAGCGAGTAGATTTTCATGGTAGCACTGGATTTGTGTTTGAGATCCATCAGGACAAATTAAAACATAGGAAACACCAGATTTTTACTGAATTCGTCATCAATATAATTGTTCACAATAAATTGGCTAATCTCATTTTAAACCCACCCATTAAAGTTTTTTTAGGTGAAATTACGTACGCAGTTATTTCATATATGTATCTGACTTATGATTAAAAAGGCAAAATTCTCTCTGGTGATTGTGTTAGTTGCACTCTAAATTTTACTAATGTTATTTTTTAAAATGAAATGAATTGTTACAAAGGTTACTGGAATAAATCTAAGATTTGCATGAAATTTATTAAATTTATATTTATTTTGATAAATAATGCAAATTTTATTAAGGATTAATAGAAATGGATCTCATATGATATTTAACGTAATTTTAAATAATTTTTTACTATTATTAAATTTTATAAAATTTGGAATTCATTACTCCAATTCAATTAAGATATCTATATTAAAAGTTTTTTTTTTTATCAATTTGGCTAAGAAGTTCATCATGAAAAAATATGGATTTACAGACAAATTTTTACAAATTTTTCAATCTGTTCCAACAAAAAAGAAGAGTATGAATATCAATTTGGGGAGTGTAAATTAACATGTTTTCTTATTAATGATGCTTGTTAAACAATTTTATTGGGGTGTACTCCCCTATCTTCAAAATTAATTAAAAAATAATAATTTTAATTTTAGCTTTATTTAGATAAGAATGATATTAAAAGTGGAACTCAAATTATACAAATGATTCAAGTTTAATTAAAGAAATCTAAATTCATTATAAGCTCATTATTGTTGTTATAAATAACTTTTATCCATTTTGTTCAAAATATTTCTGTCATTTACGATTTGACGGACCTAATCATAAGAATAAATTGGGGAAGCCAAGCAAGTTGAAACAAATTGGAATATGGCAGAATATCAAAAACAGTTTGCAATTTTCTCAATGAAAGCAAGTTCTCTAACTTCTAAAGAAGAAATAATAATAATTATTATTATTATGTGTGCTAGTTGGGATATTATATAAGGCTTGCATGTAGGAGTAATTCTTAGATAAAGACAAGAGGTGATGAGGGGTGGAGACGGGTTACTCAACAAATCGAAAACACCTCGATTATGAATTCACTATATTCAGCAATTCAAAACTTAATTACCTAAACTCAATTCTCTCTACTAGAATCACAATCAATATATTAAAAGTTTATTCTAGTAACTTAGAAATAAAAATAAAAATAAAGAAAGATGTCACGAATTACCTAATAAATCGATCCTGATTCCCTATCTCAACGAAGCAGTCTGAAACTCCTACCCTGAAGATGTCTGAAGACACCAAAAATTTGTAGAGCTAATTTAAAGTAAAAACTTTGATTTTATTGATTCATGAAATTGTGAATTACAACCTATAGTGAGACTTTTTTATAGACTTTCACCTAAACACTTCTAATTAAATACAAAGATTTGAAAAATAATAAAATAATACTAATCAAATAATCTTAAGAGATAGATTTATAATACAATATTAATAAATAAAAATATTAAAATATTGCAATCATTATCATATGTGATTTTTGGATGAAATCACATGAAAAATATGGGAAAAGATCAATTTTTTCGGCCAGACTGCTTTACCTTCATGCCACACATGCCCCACGTGTGGGAGGCAGCCTGCATGCACGTTGGGCTGCTAGTGTGCGTGCTGCTGGTGCGTGCGACTTGCCCATGCCTGCAACATCTTTTTGCACGCGTTGCACATGTGCTCACCACCTGCGCGTGTGCGACATGTGTTCGCGTGAGCGACTCTCTTGGGCATGCATGATCTTCTTTGGCGTGCGCGCTCCTTTGGTGCGCACTACTTGTGTGGCCAGTCTGTTGAATGCGTGCATTCCTTTCGTGCGTATGCGATGGCTGTTCTGCACATACACTGCCTAGCATGCGAGAAAATTTGCCTGTATGCCTTGCAAGTTTTTTTCATGTAGGTGATAGCCCCGCGGGTATGAGACCTCCTTCTTGTATATTTGGCTTCCCTCTGGTGTGTGTGAGCACGTTCACGTATGTGGCACGTGCTCCTTTTTCCTCTCTTAGTTAAGATCTTCATTACTTTTTATCTAAACTCATTGATTGCAAAGGTACATTATATAAAATAAGCCCTAAACAATCATTAGCAATTCCATGCTTAATAAAAAATAATCTAAAAGCTCTATTGTTATGTTTTGACTAATCAACTTGATGTGCTTACTTAATACTTACTGCTCATAAAAATTTGGAGCATTGCATGCTTGATATACTTTAAAGTTGACAACAATGCACATGTTAGGAGCTATTGAATTAGGTGCATGCAACCGGATTAGGTGAGATGACGATAACTTGATAATTTATTGAGGTGAGTGGTTTATGGCAGATACTGGACTACCACCAAGACTTTTTGGTAGCATGTTCCAAAAATGCCTCTAAATCTTAGAAATTGGTTAAGAAGGAATACGTGAATGATTTCCTTGTTGGCCTAAAGTGGAAGATGATCAAAACTTGTCTCAATTACTTGGTAAGTGACTCATCCATATGTGACAAACACATCCAATTGTTGGCGATTAAAATCATCTTTGATCAGCCTAAAAGTTGTAACCAAATTTTATTGCATTAGATAATATAACATGTGACTATTGTGACAAATTGAGGCATTAAGTACACATTCCAGGACATATTTTTACCTCATGCTAATGTAACGACATTGTCCCACTTTTTGAAGTTAAATATGCCTATTTATGCAAATCTTCAAAATAAAAAAACTTCATGATCTATAAATTTTAAAGCTTAGAACATATGGTTAGCTGTCAGAAATTTGAAACATAGACATGACAATATGATAAAATCCATACTACAGAAGGGTTCTAACTCCTGTAACTGATACTGGTTACATCCTCTCCATTACACAATAATTTTTCCTTATATCCTTGATTTTCCTAATAATATTTTATTCATTGATCGATAAAAAATGAACTCAATTGTGAAGTTAAGCTCCATTTGACTTATTGATGCAGAATTTGAAATCAATAGTGCAATAAAAAACCCTGTATGCAAGATTAACATTTAGAAATCATAAAGACTTAAATAAACCCTTTCTACTTAACAAAAACAGGGAAGGACAACAGAGCTTGGACATAAGCAATATAAAATGTGTAACTAAAAGTGCACTTCATACCTTCACCACACTATGCAGTAATGATCTCAGAGTTTCCTAGGTTGACTTATAACTTGAGCATGAATCTCCAAGAAGAAAATTGAAAATAATCTTTAGAACATTGATGCGTCCTAGACAACACTAGCAAGTGCACTAGTTATATCAGTAATACATATGAGAATACAAATAACGTTCCACAAAGATCAAATTTTATAAATTAATTATTATATTGAAAATTGTTATTTGACAAATAATAATTGAATTAAAGTAAATTAAAGTAAAATATAAAACTAAATAAAATTATTAAAAATTGAATAATCATAGTAAATCAAAAATAAATCAATCAATAAAACAACATTAGGGTCCACAATCCCGCTAAACTTATCTAGATATTAATATTGATAACAAAATCTGAACTAAGATTGGTGGGTAATTCTAAAGTCTGGTTAATCTTATTCAGGAACATAACCTTTCAGATTTCAATGAAACTCTTATTTAGACACTTTCATATAAATCTGCATATAATCAACCCAATTATCGACCTTATTCAGGAACATGAATATATGCCACAAATCAATTTCAAATTATGTATTCAAACAAATATGTTATTAAGCCTATTATATAAAATACTAATAATCATGCATTCAAATCCTATTGATTAAAAATTCTAACTTCTCTATTCGACACATCATTAAGGAATTCAATCAACAAAATATCAATACAAGCATTAAACTCAATAAATTTGTATAAAACTAACTCAAATATCATTAATTAAAATCAATACCCATCATAGTTTAGGGTTCATGTTTTTCCTAATAAAAACAAATCTACTCCATAAGTAAATGTAGAAAGAAACGACTGAAACTAGAAGAAAATATGGTAAGATAAAATCAAACTCTGGATTGTGTATCCGTCTTGAGTTTGATCTCCTCTTAGACGGAGTTTTGAGTCTTCAAGGAAGAAGAAGAAGAAAACTCTCTAACTTAGAACAATCTTTCTAATAGAAACGTACTATTAGAATACTAATAATATGTCATATATATACTAGGGTAAATAACATAATACCCTAAATACAAATTCTAAGTGAAATACGAAAGAAAATATGACATCCCAAGCACTTCAGAAAACCTAAAAATTTTTCTTTTCCCACATGACCATGCACCTGGTCATGTGGATTTCTGCCTTGAGACTTATTTAAGTTTAACTGACCTTAACCCCTTTTTGCCTAGTATTTTGTTGTTTGTTTTGCAAGAATTTGAGGACGTATTTCCAGAGGAGATACCAGATGGATTACCATCGATATGAGGGATCGAGCACCGGATTGACTTCACCCCTGGATCATCAATTTCCAACCAACCTGCTTATTAAAACAACCCAAAGGAGACAAAGGAGCTTCAGAGACAAGTAAAGGAGTTGTTGGAGAACGAACATATTCGTGAAAATCTGAGTCCTTGTGCTGTGCTAGTCCTATTAGTACCCAAGAAGGATGGGTTTTAGAGAATGTGTGTGGATTATCCGGTCGTGAATAAAGTCACAGTTAAGTATAGACACCCCATTCCCCGACTTGATCATATGTTTGACGAGTTAAACAGTGCAAATGTCTTCACCAAGATTGACTTGAAGAGTGGCTACCATCAGATCCATATGAATCCTGGAGATGAGAGGAAGACTGTCTTTAAAATGAAATACGGTTTGTATGAGTGGTTGGTTATGCCCTTTGGGTTAACTAAAGCTCTTAGCACCTTCATGCGTTTAATGAATCATATTTTATAGCCATATCTTGGTAAGTTTGTAGTTGTTTACGTTGATGACATTTTGATATATACCAAATCATTAGAAGATCATGTTGAGCATAGTAAAAGTGTCATAGAGATACTACAAAAAGAAAAGTTGCATGCTAATCTCAAAAATTATACA